GATCGAGGATTTGTATCTATCTTTCTGTCAATTGTTCGAAGTTAATACTGTAGTATACAATAGATTTGAAACATCTCGGCGTCGTTGGTAATCGACAGCCAACGTGTTAATTGAATAATTGAAGGAAAAGTAGTAAGACGAAAAGAGAGGAGCCTCACCTTGACACTCGAAGCTAATGTGTCGATAGTATTCCCGGTCGCAATATATAAAGGAACGTATATAGATGAATTCTCTATGGATACCAGGGTTATAGGGGTCGGTTCTCGGAGCGATATTAGGTAGGTGGGGAATCTGTTCGGTACGGCCTGTATACGTAAGCCGTTAGTGCCAATATAGTATCTGTATACGGTGCCGTCCGACATAACGTTTCAGGTTATATTATATATTGTTCGTAATCGAAGATCTCGTAAGACCTTTCGATCTGTCGAAGATATTGGAAACGCTGCTAGTTATGAATTTCGTTCTTACCGAACGAATTTTACGACAGAATTCGCGCAGTAAATTCTGTTTCTCGAGTATCGCGAAGATCCGCGATGCAAAGAAACAAAATTTTATGATTTGTGGGATGAGCGGGAAATAGGAGATAAAGATAAGGCATCGATAAAATTTAACTACCGAATTATTTAGTTATCGGAAGGAAAAATAACGTATAAAGTGGATAAAATGTTATTAGTATCTCTGTTAATCTCTGAATCTTCTCATTTATTATTCATGCGGTGCCTCCAACCACTCAAAAATTATTATTTTCATTTATTCAACAAACTGACCGTTTTTTAAGATATTAATTTTGTTTGAAAGCCCGACGCTGTTGTGTAATTAAAAACATTACTTATACAAATGACAACAGCCCACGTAACGTTGCATAAAAAAGGGTGATATTCTTGTTAATTAAAAATATTCGTTGTCGAGATACAAACAACTCGACACAGATACAAACACAAATATCATTCATATATTTATGCTTGTTACTTTACAATGGCTAGTAATATGGATTATTAAAGATATCAAGGATTCATTTCTCAATCTAATAATTCACTTTATTATTTTGAATTACCTACTGAGATAATTATAATACGAATTTCAGTGATCTATTCGTATCATTATGTAATTGATAATTATCCTCTATTCAAGTAACCAACGCCAGTATCACGAACAATTGATATCCAACCACAAATTATCAATCAAATTGATCAATCAATCGATCTGCCGATTACATTAATATTCCGTTTCAAATGGTCTCCAAAATTCTTCGACTCGGAATAATTAATTGAAATACAAGTTTGCGAGCACGAAAAACGAGTTCACGTGGTAGGAAAGTTCTTAAGCGAAAGAAACGATCTAATTTCTGGAAGACGTTGTTCCTTTAGCAAAAGGATCGAGCGAAGCTGCTGGGTTTTCGTGATACCACGTTAAAGAGGGTTTCGCGAACGCGGAGGTCGGCACTCTCACATCAAATATGAATAGGTGGAAAAGAATGGTGGATAAAGGATGGATGCATAGAGGAAGGGGAGAGACACGGAGGGCATAAAATATTTCCTAGCTCGCGAGTGCATCGCGTTTTCGCTCGGATAGGAATTTCTGGTTGGATATCAGCCGTGCGTCTCGAGAAATTCCAGATCTATACGCTCGATCCTTGCTTGCTTTCAGCTACCGAGGCGATTTTTATAAACTACGGGACTTCATTTCATGCTCGATGATTGATTTCGATGCTTCGCAACATTACTCGATGTACCTTCGAGTAATTACACTTCAAAAGATTGATTTTTAAATAAAGCATTAATAAAAATCGTCCCATCCAACGATTTTCCGTTTCTGTTTACCGTATAACACTATTTTTTTTTTTTTTTTTTTTTGGAACACGGTTTTGTTGCAGCGCGAAATAAACGGTGATCGATCGCGTAGCGTCCGATATGGGTTTCTGGAGACAGATTAATTCACGTCCAAATCAAATTTGTCTATTTAAAGCCATGAAACAATACTAGTGCCATACGGTTCGTTTCATTCCATATCGATTCGTTGGATTTCAATTTTAAGAGGCAGCTGTCTTCTACATTTCGCATCGATCCATTATAGAAACCAGATGAAGAAGATTAATCATTCAACTCTAATTTAAACTGATTACGTGTATCATTCAGAAATATCAGTTTATGATATTAACAAGTATATCTCGTTAGAAGTATGACACAAATGCGATATCACAATACAAAAGCAAAAGTGGAATCTTCATTTTTGGCCTCATTAAAAAGGAATACATTTCCTTTACGATTTTTCTCTCCACAATGACGCTGATCCCGGACATCCGCTTTATTTACGACTCGCGAACAGGAAAACGACACACATTACTCACGTGTCGCGTCAAGGAGGGATTGTTCGAGGAGCAGTGACACCAAAGCAAAGAATACGGTTGGAAAAAAGAAGAGAAAGAAGAGGAACGAAGCGAAAACGTGTGGGAAACTGGCGAGATACCGAGCTCGGGATGGCCTGCGAGAAGAACGACGAACGACGAAGGAGAAAGAAGCGACGGAGGCTTACATTTCCCACGGGGTATCCTTGCTTGCTCGCAGACTCCTTACTTACGGATTGATACTCAATTTCCAGCGAGTTTAGCCCCTATCGGGGGATCGTTGCGCCTGATCGCAGCAGCTCCTTTCGATTTCAAATAAATTCGATAATGGTGGATATAGACGGGTAAGATGCTGTTCGAGTGTGATATAGAAAAAGATTTCTCCATCGTCTTTACCTTAATCGACAGAGTTAAGGTGCTGTTGGTAGCTCGTCTGGCTTCCCGATGGATTCCGTTCAATCTGGAATCGATGATTTTACAAGAGAATCAACGTCGTTAACAAAATTCTCTTAGAAATTGAATTTGAATTTTCATATCAATTCTCCTCGAACTTTGATTTCTCTCTTCCATTTTGTTACTAAACTCCATTCTCCTTTATAAATTCTATTTTCTGCTTTATATTCAGTTCAACTTTTGCCCATCACCAAGGTTATGCTGGTATCTTATGGAGAAGTAAGATAGTAACCATATCAGTGGTCGCAATGGTTTTCGTGAGAAGATTTTCCAAAAGGATACGTCTTGCTTTATTCTACACTCTTCGCTCCTATTCTAGCTTAAAATTTCAACATTCTTCTGTTTTTATGTTAAAAGTGCCACTCAAAGACAATGTTTCGCGGTACGTACTCGCGCAGTGTCATATATCAAAACTTAGAGCAGTAATAGTGACGCTGTTTTCAATAATTTGGTCAAAATAAAACCTTGCACGAGAGACCCGGTAACGAAGTTTATCGTTTCACATTAAAACTCGTTCGTTGATCAAGCATCCCCTCTGTTCCGCATAAACGTTAGCAGCGTTAATTACACAACCGTCGAATTACGCTCGCGACATTCGCACGCGGTCGCGATAAATCCGCGGCGGTCGGGGCCGAAAGGTAACGCGGTCCCCTCTCTCTCTCCGGACGATATTACTCAACGCCATTAAATATCGCGTTTTGCGCGGCCGGATTTCGGCAATAACGATAATGAAACAACGAGCACCGGTGGGCCGGTGGCTTTTTCTAACGACCAGCCTCGTTTCGGCGAGCTTGTTATCAGGCCTGCCACCCCGTAACGAACCCTCCGCGCCCTTCTTTTCTAGCATCGGGCCAGGCTTGGTTAATTATAAACCAGCCACCTTGCTCGAAGAAGCGCGAACGACGATTCTCTACCCCGGTGTAACGATGTTCCTCTAATTACAACGAATTATATTAAACATCTTGCCAACACGCCCTATCGCTCCCGCTCCTTCCTGTTTCTCCTCGCTTCTCGTTTCCGTTCGCGGACCTTGCAACTTCAATCTTATCTTCCAGCAAACGAACAGGGCTCTGTTGTTGCCGCGAGAACTATTATAATTTCCAGCCGCTTGACAAGAGGTGATTTTAATGAGCGTTCAAGTTATGACGCTGGCTCGAAGTTCAAGCATTCGGTAATCGGAAACGATTTGGGTAACTGTGACAAGGTTTCTATCGGTAGATTCGATTAATATCCGCATACACTCGGGTGCAACTTAGGCGAATTATAGAATGTGTCTCCTTCCGTTTGCCTTCGGAATTGGTAAGGTGAATAGACTTTCCCTTAATTAAGAGAAGTCTAGATACTGCAAAATGCGAAAAATAATAATAGGAAGAATGAAATAAATGATAGAAACGTTTCGAACGACAAGCGCCAGTAGAATAAACTATAACTGGTCAGACACCGGATATGTTCAGGGCTTCACCCCTTTATTTAAGGAAGTTAAACGTATGGTAATTGTATTCGGTAATGAAATGAATATTATATAGACCAATTGTAATCCGAATACGGGTTTCCATGTCTATATTAATGCGGGTATGATATCTTATAAATGCAACAAGCGAACGTAACAAACGTGGCTTGAGATATTTACATCGACTAGCAAGCGGAAATCACGGGGCGGAGAACACGAAACGATCTTACTCGAACGTGGAGGATCGGGCTTCATTACCGAACAAAAGCTGCTCAGCCACGGATTTTCAGTTATGACGGTTTGCCAGCCGGTTTGCATATCCAAAGCGCGTTGCACTCGGGAGCCTCGCAGCCGAGTACGCGCATCTCTACGTCTCTCTGTTTCTGCTTACCGGATATCAAAGTCAGCGATCGTGGCAGCATCGCGCCAGCAGGAAATAACGCGAATGGACGCGCGGTACAGCGACGTCGTGCTCGAAAAGCAGCTACGGCTAACTGCAAAGGTCCGGGAAAATGACCGTGGGTGTGTTTTACAAAGAACCACGGCTCGCAATTTCGGAAATAATTTTCGCCGTGGAAAAAAACGCTGCTTTCGTTGAGGGGGAAGGAGTTGAATATTAATTCTTTTCTCTACAGAAAGGAGTGTGCATGGTATATGATTTTGGTTGGTGTACGTTATAGAAAGAAATAATTAAACGGTATTTCGGGTACTTTGAAATTTTTCACGTTTCAGAATAAATTATAGAATACTTACGGAACTAAATCCCATGACTTTGAGCAGCCACACTGTGAGAGCCAGGTTCAGGATCACGATGATCATTAAAGTCAGCACCAACGAGTAGAGACACCTCTTTCTCCAGCCGTACACGCCTAACCTCAGTCCTTCCTTGCAGGACGCGGTACCGGAAGTGCGGTCCTCGAGAAGGGGAGGTGTCCTTCTCGAGGATGGTCCCGCGGATTGTCTAACCACGTTCCGGCCACCGGTCGACGTGCACGGCTCGTCTGCCCAGCCTGTTTGCCCTCGAGACATCCTGAAATCAGACATCGATTTCCTTTTATTAAATTCATGCATCATTTGCGAATTCTTCTAATTTTCCTTTTTTCATTTTACACGCGTTGCATAAATTTTCCGCCAGCTACGAGTTTTCTTTGACTACTTCCTTGACAGCGACAAACGAGAGCTGGAACTTTTAAGCGTCGACGCATGCACGCGCGCGAAACTAACTGCAAAAATGCAATTGTTCCAGCTATTAATAAGGCGGTAATTACCGTGCTATTTCTTCCACTCCGATGATTTATCAACGATTTATGCTACGCTCTCTCAGACCGGCTGTTGAAAATTGGTCAACGACTAGAAACAAGGGAGCCAAGATCTTCAGCCTGCAGCTCTTGAAACGCGAGCCGTTCCTTCATACGTGCCCGGCGTTCCAAGATCCGCCTACCTCGTGCTACACCATTTCCTTCAACGTGGAGCGGATTTTTTATCAAGTGAAAACGCCGGTCCGCTCGAGATCAGATTTTGTTCATGGAGCTGAATAAAGCTCGATCGTACGGCGCGCGGGAAGAAAGGCTGAATCCGAAATTAGCGTGGCAAATAGGGGACGATAAAATTCACCGTATAAAATGTTGAATGAAAAAGAGAGGGAGGCGAGGCCGAGGATTATCAAATGGCAGATAATTAGCGGTGGTAGACGAGCGCGTGCATGAAAAATGAACGAACAGAAAGGGGTCGATTAAAAGGAGCGACGAAGGCTGAGGAATGAGAAAAAAATAGATGAGGAAGAACCTGAGTAGACTTATGTAAATCTGACCGCAAAATAACGGATGTAACTTTCCTCCGTAATCTCTCGCTGCTCCGAATTGAACGAATCGCCTTTTACTTGCATTTTTTTTTTCCAATCTACTTCCTACCAGGGATCGTAACTCAAATTCAAAAAAGTTACGGTTCTTTAGAAATCCAACAAACTCATCTACCCTGATGGCAAATGTTCTGTAACGCCATAGATAGGCCAGAAGGTTAGAGTACCAAAAACTGTAGTAATAATATAAAATTTCAAAGCGAGAGGGAATGCAACTGCGGGGAAAGGAAAAACACCGAGGAGGAAGGAGAGAAGCTAGGGCTAAAATATTCAATGCTACCCCTCTGCCTTCTTGCTTATAATTATACCTCTCGCGAATATAAAGAGCTCGGTCGCTCGAAATTAAAAGCTCCGAAGATAAGCCCCCGCGAGGAAAGAGACTCGCCAGCTTGCTTTTCAGGGCTAGAAAGTGCACGATTTTCAACAAGAGAACAGACGAACACAGAAGAGTTAGAGAGGAACTGCAGAAAGTTAGCGATTATAGAAACACTGCCGCAGATGTACCCTTCGTCGCAGATTGCGTTTAACGATGCTCTTTAATCATCATTTTCAATAATCATCTCCGGTGTCCAAACAGACCTTGACAGCCTAATTACTAAGGATTCGTGTTCTTCAACAAATTGCAGTGTAACGAAAAGTTAGTTTCAAACGAAAGAGAGGAAAATTCTAAAATATTAAGATAGTAACGCATCAATTATGAGTCACTGCAGTTAAGGGTGGAAATATTTGTGGGATTATAAATAACGCGGAGGATATGTTAAACGAGCTCTGAAAGTTTCAATGTAACGCGAAGTCACCACAATAATTTCACAGTTTTGAGCTCAAAGAGCATTGCAAGTCGTGAAATTATCACTGTACTAACGTATGACCGTGTTGCATGCTCTTTTTTCCGTCGTCCGGCGTCGCATCCCTTGGTCCACCTGCGGCGCAACTTCCGTGACAAATAGCGCTTTGTTTAAAACGAATCAAACGAAATGCTGAGCTGCTTACCAGCACGGAACACCGTGGAATTATGTGTGTGTTCAGGGGAGAGACACGCGAAAGCCCGGGACGAGATAAATTTTCGAGCAATGGAGAAGATGAAAATATTTCAGAAATGAAAACATACTGATTTATGATATCTTTATTTTATAAGAAAGGATTGTTATCATTTTTGATTTCACAGGAAGATTACGCAATGCCTATGCCTGAAATATTCCAATAAAAGGGGTGAGAATTTTTTCCATGGGATGCGAATGACAGGTGTCCAGGACACTACAGTGTTTTTTAGTGTTTCGATTTCAATTTAAGCGAAACGTGTCACAGTGAATTTAACGAAACAAAAAACGATTCTACGATAAAAATGAAAGGAAGATGCTAAAGTACTAAAAGATTAAAATTACTTGCACAAAATTACCATGCAGTCGTTTTAAAAAAGAACTGATTAAAGTCGTATCGTCGTAACGGGTGATTTAAGCGAGCATCGTAATGCAATCAATTCAGCAAGCGTCAAGGGGAACAAGGGTAGGGGGATGTTCATGTTTGAAACACGCATGCGGGTTAAACGAAGAAGTGGAGCGATTAATTGGTTCCCCAGGGAATTTCGTTTCGACGTGATTATCCTGTGTAAAGTCCGGTTTAATGTAATTCCTAGATCCTTATGAGAGGACTTCCAGGTTCGTTAAACGAGGCTTTGGAAAAGTTAGCTACACTTCTTTTTCTCGTTTACAGAAAAACCTTTCAACTTCCTAAAAATTTTGCTAAACTCCCTAGTTATACGAAATAATTACGAAACAGGCGTTTCAATTTACTTCAGAAAGGAGCAACGTGACACGCAGGGACGTATTATGGAAACACAAGCATGAGTTTTCCAACGTGAACGCGTTAACTAGAAAGCGAATCGTGGATTGAAAGGGTCCGGGGTAGGTGGCTCAAGAACATACAGGTTAATTATTTTCCTGACGGCGTTGTTGTTGAAAAGCTGGGAGCTTATCGGGCGGTTAGTCGAAAACCGCAGGAGTGTGGCGTCTTTGCAGGGACGAAAGGGTGTGAACGGGATGATTTGGAACGTTAGTTAGAAACGGTTGGTAACATCGATGAGGTTCTTATTCGGTAGTGGTGGTGCACGGCATCTGGGTGGCTCCGGTTCGCGGTGGGTGCGCCATTGCCACAAGCCAAACATAGTTTAACTGAAATTGCCGTTAATAGACTCGTTCGTCATAGTATCGAAAAGCAAGCGGCTTGGCTACCAGCCCTTTTTACATCTCCTCTATTCCATTCGTTCTCTTTCACCTTCTTTCTTTTCAGATATTCTTCCCCCAATGCAGGACAGCGCGGAAATTGTCGAGCAATTTCCATGAAAAATGCCAGACGTTTACAGTACGACCGTCCTCGTCTCGTTTGCCACGGAAATTACGCTTACCCTTCTCGGGTTAGTTCACCCCTCTTCGACGTTTTCAATTTCACCGCATCGGCCACTTTATTGAAATAAAATTGCGCCAGTTGATATTCGACAATGTTGTGCTTGTCTTCCTCCAAAGTGGATTATCGTTGTCGAGCAATTACGAAGGATCCTGTCAGATTCGCGTGTCCCGTAATAATTCTTTTCGTCCTCCTCGAGGATTTCTGTTCCCACCTTATCAATTCGCATTTTCAATAGAAATTTATTAATGATTAATCGTGAACTCGTTGACAACGAGTCACTACCGAATTATAAGATTAGCCCACAGATACGAAATACATTGTACACTCGTGTTCTGATCGTATTAGCGATTCGATATCTCTCTATCCTGGGGTTAATGGGACACGAGTAGAATCTGCTGGAATCAGAACATCAAGGGATCGGATATTTCTCGAGGGTCTCGGAAAACCCCTTAAGGGTGGTCAGTTATTGGCTGTAGGATTCAATCATGAGATCAAACATCGACTGGTCTTGCTAGAAGGGGACTCGACATCGTGTCAACCTCTCTATTTGCTATTATTCTGAAAATATATTTTGTCACTTTCTCAATGTGAAAACGTAATCAATGCAACTTGAAAGAATTTTGTTTCTTATTGGATCGTCAAAACGAATTCGAGTCACCGCATAATTCACTCAATTTGTACCGAGGAAACGGATAAATAATATTCCATAAAAGCCCCGAAGAACTTTCCAGATCTATGGGTATCTATATTTCAAGCGAAAATCACGGTAAAAAATCCCATTTCGATCTCGTCGATTCGCGACGATCGTCGTGACGTATTGGTGGACGTCGAGAATCCGCGTGAAATACGCCGGCTTCTCATTCACGTGAATTCGTGAAACGCGAATTCGTCAGTGATTTACTGGGCCACACGGCCTATCCATTAAGAGCATCGACACGATCGCGAAAATAAACACTTTATCGCGAACGATCTCCCATCGGTTGTCTCCGATCCCATTCGCGGCAACGAATCCGACGATGCGGGCTAGAACGTTTATGTTTAACGGCGAGATAAGCATTTACAGGGCAATCGTTCGGCTGTATCATCGATTTATCGATGAAACAACCGACCAAGTAAATTAAAAGGGCAGGTGCAGCGATTATTAACGCCCGCATACAAACCCGCCAGCCCAAGCTGGCCTAATCTCCTCGTTTTCGTTCCGGCCAGCCTAGTCCCGTCATTAATATCAATCATCGTCATTCCTCTATCGTCTATAGTCCACGTCGATCGATCGAACCTTTCTCCCCGTCTTTCGTATCGTCAATCGGAATTAAATGAAATGTGCAAATGCAATGAAAATCAAAGAGGGAAAGAGAGGATTGACTTTAATAATAATTACTATCGGTCCTCTTTTAAAATACGTATAATGAAAATTATAATATCCCCAAGGTAAACGTTGCTCGCAGTCGGTAGGTATATCGCTGCTCGATCGAGTCAACGAATAGAAGCAAATTTCGAGTAAAATTGTTTGTCATCGTATTGTTTGACCTGTCAATGTTAATAACGGTGCTCGATTGCGTTCGACCCTCCTCCTCGTTCCAATATGGTACGTCGAACCCTTTTTATATGCCAGTCGTATCGTGTGTTTTTACAAAGTCTCTTTGTTCACAGCTTTGATTAATTTCTTGCGGCAGCTCCTTCAGAGAATTTATTATAAGCGTCACACCAATTTTGCCACACCATCAGTAATTTCCTATAATATGGTAAAAAATTTTCAACTGCAGTAAATA